CCCGCCCCGCCCGCCCCGCCCGCGGTCTCCTAGCCCGGCCCCTACCTGGAAGGGCTCTGGGCCCGCCCCCGGGGGCCACGCGCTCACGGGCAAGTTCTCCTGGCCTCGCGCTACATCCAGCTGTTCCGTTGGGGATTCCAGCTCCTCCTCACACGCTGCCATCCAGAAAGGCGACTTCGCCACAGATTCCGTAAATATTTACTCGCCTCTCCCTTCTCCTCCTACCCGGGCAGTCCGGCGCCTCGCAGAGGATGCTGGGAGTCCTGGGTCCCGCGGCCCCACTGCCTCATGGGAGTTGTAGTGTTTCCTACTCCTCTAATGGGGCCTTGAATATTTTGGTCTGGCTATCCCTGTTGGAGCCCCAGATACAGCTGATAATTACAAAACCCTGTAAGGTATGGACATAACTGTTGGAATACAAATAAAATGCTTTACTTTTCTCTGGGAGCATTACGGAGGGGATTTTAGAAGTGAGGCATTTGTGAGGGATTTTGTGGCCTTAGTACACTTTTGCTAGACTCATCAGATGAAAGTCTAAATGGGGGTGCAGCGGGCGCGCAAACTAGGGTTTCTAAAGAAGGGGAGCTTGCGGGGAAGTTGGAAGACCTGGGATAGAGTTTGTGCCCAGGTTGCAGAATAGCCATTTGGAGTGCCATAGGCATTTGTGTTGGGTATGGCCCCCTTCATGATAAAGATACCGGTTCCCCATCAGCTTAGCCTGCTTCCCCACTACCCCAGGCTTGGGGGCGAAAAAAGTAAAAACAAAACACTCAAAAGACCAGAATGCTAATACAAATGCAGATGGTTACAAATGGAAAAAAAAAAAAGCTGGCCCTAGGCCTTGGGCGAGCACTCTGCCATAGAGCTATTCCTCTAGCCCCACTGGAATGGTTTCAACCTCTTTGATTGTCTTGCTTTTCTTCCTCTTCTCCCTTTTCCCTTGTCGGGTTTTTTTATTCTTTTTTGGGACAGAGTCTTGCCATGTAGCCCAGGCTGGCCTTGAACTCACTGCGGTCCTCCTGAGTACTGGCGTTAGGGTCTTGCACAGCCACACCTGGCAGTTTGTGTATTACTTTTTCATTTTAATACTGTCCTAAGACAAAAGTGCAACAGTTTAGAGCCAGGTGTGGTGGTAGATAGCTATAATTCCAGCGCTCAGGAGGCTGAGGCAGGAGGATCGCTGTGAGCTTCAGGTCAGCATGGGTTGCATATAGTGAGTTCAAGGACAGCCTAAAGTATATAGTGAGATTCTAACTAAAAAAAAAAAATCCCAAAATTTTATAACAGTTTAGAGATCTTGACTTTATTTTCAATTCCAGAGTCAGGTAACACTTCATTCCATAAAATACAGTAAGTGTTCTAATGGGCTGAACAGAAGAAATTGGTTTAACAGGCAGAAAGGGCTGGAGAAGCAGAAACAATGCATAGAAGCTGACTGGTCACTTACAAATTAAGTAGGGACAGGAATACAGAAAAGAGGAAAATACCTGATTAGTTACCATCAGGTTACTTTTTTATGTGTGGAAGAATTAAGGCAGAAGAGCTTTATTATTGTCATGCCAATTGAAAAGGGTTTGGTAAAGTTGGCTGTTGTCTAATCCCTGATTTCTCCAGAAGATCTGATAAACACCTCTGCTTCAGTTTGGTGACGTGAAACTTTAGTGTGACTATTTTGATTCTTATGGTCTGGTCCAGTGCAGGAGTTTAGTCCAAAATAAAGGCCTCCTACAATTTTTGTTTAACAGTGCCTTTTTGTCATTCAGAATGTGAGTGTTGCGGGGTTCTGTTCTTGGTCCTTTTCTTTTGTCACCCTCCCTGGGCTTACTCCATATTAACAACCACTCATGATTTCATATAGAAAGGACTGAATAGGAGATTAGGGTGTAGCAAAGGCTGACAGGGGAAATAGTCGTGGTCTGTTAGTTAGCTACGAGATCCTGAACACATGCACAGAACAGTTCCCAAAGCTCTGCGTGTGGACTTCTGGGGAGAACTCCAGCAGATTCTCAATAGGACAGCCTAGACCTGACCTCAGCCTGAGGCATGGGACCTCAGCACTGCCTCTCAGGACCCTTGACATTTAGACAGTGTAAAAGGACATGTCACTGCCATGAAGGCTTTGCTATCCTAACTTTCTCTGATAGCCCATGCTGTGTTTTCCAGGTGCAGTGTGTAGTTCTATCTTTGCTCTTACCCTCTTTTTTCTACTTACTTAGCCCAAGCTCTCTCTGTAGAGCCAGTTTCTCTCCAACTCTTGTTGATTCTACCTCTATGGTGTTTTTCATTTTAATTTCCTCCTACTTAGTCCTAGACTCTCATTTCTTGCTTGACTTACCTAATCATTTTTAAAAATCTGTCATTTCCATGCCCTCAAATCTCTCATACTGCCACTGCTGTACTAGTCTTTTAATATACACATTCACTTATTGTAGTCTACTGCCTATAACTCTTGTGTTCACTCTATGTTTTCTCTCAAAGGCTAACCTCTGTTTTCTGGCTTTTAAGGTCCTAGACTCTGCCTATTTCTTAGGTATCTATTAATATTACTCTCTGATTTGAACCCCTGAATCTACCTTTTCTCAACATGCTGTGCTGCTTAGACCTCTCTGCCTGTTATCACACTGTATTCATGTCTCACTGCCTTTACTCCATATTTTGTAGTTACTCAGCTTGTGTCCCATTGCCTGTATCTTTCCTGACTCTGTTACTGATAGCGTTGGTTACTCTCTTTACATTGATTCTTTTTCTTTATAAACCTTTTTGTCTTGTCCCTGCAACTCTTTTAGTATATCCATAGGTAACACCCTCTTATTGAAAACATACACACACTTTCACATGCACATACATTCAGTATGTACATTTACTAGTCTTTTGATATATGACCAAGAGTTTGTATGTGTGTAGATGTAGACTACTGATCAGAGTTTTATGTTATATTTACTTGTCTTCCAGTTCTGGTATCTTTAAAGTGGGGCAGGGGCTGGGGACTTAGCTCAGGGGTAGAGCACATATCTAGCATCTCGCACAATGACCTGGGTTCAGTTTCCAGCATCACAAGGAGAAAGAGGTTAAAAGCCGGGCAAAAATTAAAATATATGGAAGCAGTTTGAGACTATCTAACTACACACCACCTGTCTTTTTCTCACACCTACTTCAATGGCGTGTGTGTGTGTGTGTGTGTGTGTGTGTGTGTGTGTGTGACTTGCTTTTTTCTTTTAAAGTCTTCATAGAGTTCCAGTTAGGCATCATAGAAGGAAGAAATTCTTTGCACTCATAGTTCACCATCATTTTCATAGATAATTATACTAACAGTTATACTAAGTGTTATCAGGTTTGGGAACATACAAAAAACCATGTTTATAAATGTCAGTATTTATGAGCAGGTTATAAAGTCACTGAATTTTGTACTGAAGTACACATCTATTATAGTCACGGTTTGCAAGGGGAACAGTTTAATAACTTATAGGATTATTTTATAGTAGTCCCCCAAAGAATTTGCACAAAAGAGTGCAGGAAATCTGTCCACACACTGAAGACTCAAGGAATCCAACCGAGGACCTGGATCCCATGGCAATGTCCTGCATGAGTCTAGCTGGAGAACTAGAGCCCATGACAATGTCTCATACAGGTCCGTTTCACAGATCTGCGCTGGGAATGCTCAAAGGGTCAGTAGTGGAAGGTAGAAAGTCTGTGCTAGTGGGATAAAGGCTCTGAGCCAACAGAATGAGGGTTCTACACTGGAGCCAGGAAGTGACACTCAAAGTAAAAACCAGAGCTCCCCCGAAAAGTACCACAGCCATCCTCAGCAACAGAAAGGTCCTGAGCTCCTCCGAATGAGAACAGCCAAGTTCATATCAGGAAAGCCAGCACGACAAGCTCCTCTAGGAGAACCAACAGCCCCAGGAGAACCAACGGGTCCCTAACAGCACCTCTTCTTCTCTACTTCTCCTTTGTATTTTGTTGGCCACAATCCTGAGGTAAGCGTCCCACACCCAGCACCACACTGGTTCAGTTCAGCTGGGTGTTGCAAGTTGACCACCAGTTGTCAGTCCACCACACCATTTGATAAAAAACTCTTTGGACAGCAGCTTTAGAGAGGGAAAGGGAAAGCTGGTTCTATGTGGAAAAGACCAAAATGTAATGGTTAGGATAATAGGATCTGAACTCAGACATGCTCATAGTTACTTTGTTTGTCACTGAGACATAATACCTGACACAACTTAAAGGAAGAGAGGTTTATTTTGGCTCATGGTTATGGAATACTGTTGGCTGGCTCCAAGGTCGAATGCATGGTAGAGGGGCAGGCAGAAGAGGAGTTGCTCACATCATGGCGTCCAGGAAAGGGAGAGTTAAGGGAGGAACTGGGAAAGGAGATCTACCCTTCCAGGTCACACCCACAATGACCACCGCTTCTGCCAGAACTCACCATCTAGTAACAAGTCAGCTTCACTGCACTGCCCTGGCACCTTTCAAAAGCCCCACCATTGAATACATGAGCTTTTGGGGGGACATCTAGCTAAAAACTGCCATGTTGAGAACAGCTCTTGAGAAACCCCCAGGGGAAGGACCGTGAAAAAATGAAGGCAAGAGTGAAAAGGCAGAAAGCTGAGGTCAGGTGGAGCCCTCTGTCTTGGTGGAGAAAAGAACTGCAGTGTGTTTATTTATATACTTGGTAGGTTGATGTCAGGTGAAACCCCTGTGCCTAACAGCTTGTTCACCTAGCTTGCCTCAGGCACCCTGTGTTCTCTGGGCTGGATCAACCTGTTCACCTGGCTCGCTTTGGGCACTCTGTGTTCTCTGGGCTGGCCTTGCTCTAGCCCCGCATGTGTGATCAGTCTTCAGCTTCAGCCACTCCCCATAATAAGCTATATAACATATGCTTTATATTCCAACTTTGTCACTTTCTGACCAGGGACAACAATTGCTAACACTTACTGGGCCATTATTATGTGCTAGACACTGTTTTAAGAGTTTTATATGTTCTAATTCACTTATACATCATAATAAGATCCTTGAAAGCTCCACCATGCAGTCTTTTTAGATTCAACTGAAGTTCAGACTCACAGGCAACACTTGGCATTAAGTTCACTCAGGCTACAGGATAGGAACAACAACCTGCCAGCAGAGAGGCCTCAGATGTCACTGTGTGAATAGTGGTTGTAGCTGTCCATAAAGCAGATCACAAAGCTGCCTGGGACATTTATTCTTTGTTTTCTCACAAGGTGGTTCAAGTGCAAGGAGGTAATATCCTCTTCAATGGGTGGGAGCATCGCGAATTAGA